TGTGTGTGTGTGTGTGTGTGTGTGTGTGTGTGTAAAATGTTACAATGGTAAGGAAAATTGATAAACCACTGTGGGGGTTGGGGCTTTGACCAGGGTCAATGGCTTGTGGTGTTGTTTTTTTCTTACCTGTTACCGACAAGACAATCTCCTTAAAACCTCAGTGAACCTGAAGTGATCTCCTTCCTCCATCAGGCCCCTCCATCCTCCACAGTGGACAGCAATGACAGCTTCAGGCCGGGCAGTCTCTTCAGACAGCTCGCCGATCAGGACGAAGACACAGCCACTTCCTCTTTATTCAAACTCAGCTGGCTGTCTGGCATGGCCAAATAACCCCACATCACTCAAGACTCTTTAGTTGCCAGAGGCTTTGTAAACATAAATATGTATAATAAATATAATTTTTGTCTTTTGAAAAATGCCTCCTCTGCGATTTAATTCATTCATGCAACTGTGAGTAAAAATAAGCACGTCTGACTCAGGTAGCACGTGTTCTACATAGATGAGCAGCAGTACCTCCCTGTGTACTGTGTGTTTCTGAAGGAGCACATGGGAAAGTGTGTGAACCAGTGGGAAGATCTGGGTAGAGTCCTCCTCTAACACTTTAAACACTTGTTTAAGATAGTGTTTATCTGCAGGAGCTCACTGGACTCTACTAGGACGGATGTGGCTCAGGGGGGAGAGAGGGCCGTCCTCTAACCATAGGGCAGGTGGTCTGATCCCAGTGTGTCCCATTCTGTATGCTAAAGTGTCCTTGGGCAAAATACTGATCCCTAAATTGCACCTGATAAAGTGCTGCCTGTATATGCGCTGTAGGAATGTTTGTGTAAATGGGTGAAAGGCAAAAACTACTAGAACTTTGAGTGACCATTAACTGCTCTTTAAAGGGATAGTTCACTGAAAAATGAAAATTCACTCATTATCTACTCACCACTATGAAGATGGAGAGGTGGGTGAAGTGTTTGTCTCAGGGGTAAAGTTTGTTGCAGTAGAATCCGATACACTTAAAGTAATCTGCGACTTATACTTCAGACGTAATGGAAACAGTGGTGTCATCCAAGTGTCCAGAGGCCCCGACATTCATATTGGACATTTCATGACATCACACTCATAGTATGGAGACATGTTTTCTGTTCTATTATAACTTCTGAAGAAGAGGTTTGTGGACTCAAACACTTCACCCACCCCTCCATTGTCATAGTGGTGAGTGGATTATGAGTGAATTTTCATTTTTTCGGTGAACTATCCCTTTAATGTAGAATGACATGTAATAAACCTGAGGATTCACCTTTCAGCAGGACAGAGACCTTAGTCAAACAGATGAGAGACCACTGGAGTGTCTTCAGGACAACTCTCTTACTGTCCTCGAGTGACTGAAACTAAGACTAAACTTAAACCGTACGGAATGTGAGGATGCCACAGTGTTCACTGACCAATCTGTCTGAGCCTGAGAGGATTTACCAGGAAGATAAGTGTCCCACGTTTGTGTGTGTTATGCTTGATGAGACTCCACCAACAGCATTTTCAGAAATGCGCAGAACAAGAAGGGGTCTGACTGCGCTGACGACATCTTCTCTGCTTCTCTTTCACACTGCAGATGACTGGTGACATCGTGGGTAGATATTACACGAATGAACCTCTCTCTGACTGTCAGTCATCATTTCAGTGATTCGCTGTGTCGCCTCCATTCTCCACATGCAGAGCCCCGGTCAAGTCTCTCATCTCTCAGATCATGTGTACTCTTTTATTAACATGATGAATTGTGTATGCACCGAATAGAATCATTTACATCACAACCATTTCCCCTCTTTTTGTGCACAGCAGTAAAATGTTGCTTTAACACACACAAACACACTGAACTCTGCTTTAACTTGATCTCATTATTAATTTCACAGAAGTGTACACATGTACATACTGTACAAATATCCATATGGAAGTGAAGGGATGAATGATTGAATCGTTTGCAGCAGACAGTACAGACAGTTTAATAAAATCAAACTTAAATCTGTCCTGTCTGTACAACAGCAGTTATCTATTTTTACATATATTGCAGCAACAGAAGCTACAACATCTGGGTCCTACTTCACCCTCTTACTTGTATGGAGCAATATGCATGGAAAACATAACTATCACACAGTCAGCAAAGAAGAAAAAGCAGGCTCATTGGCTCAAGTCAAACTTCAGACATTTAACAATAGATTTGGCTTCAGCATCTAATGTATTGATGATAATAAAGGTTTTATTCTTACGTACTGTATATTTAAATATTTATTACCATATATTGGATATTTGATACAAATTGTGTCATTAGTGTGACTTAACATATTGTCATATTCTATCACATGCTGAAAGAATAGGTTTGGTGGCGAGCTGTACTGATAATCACTGTTCATATTTACAACCTAACTCTGCAGATGCTTTTCATTCAAATGTATGAATTTATTGTAAATGTATCGATGTAAACTCAATTTTTCACATTTTATGACTTTCTAAAACAAAGCATCACCTGGCTGGTACCTGTGTGTGATACTGTGTGCCTCATGTAAATTTTCAGTGCGTGGCTCTACTTCTTCCTGTCTATTTTGCTCATCATGGCCTTGACATCGACAGGAGCGGAGGCAGCGGCCACCTTAGCCTTCTCTTCCTCCTCCTGCTGCCAGAGGATGATAGGATGGATGCCAAGGCTCCGGTTCTGAGCGTTTTGCTCCAGCTGGGCCGGACTAGGGAGGAGAAGCAGACTCAAGATGAAACTGAACTCACATTGTCTTACAAATTTCCAAAAGGATGAATAGATGATCTACATACCAGGGCTGGATAATAAAATAATATAAATGACCAATACTAATATAACAATATAACAATATATATATATATATATATTTGGCGGTATATGACTCTGTCCTGGGACACCCCTGCCCTTCCTCATGCATACGTGCAAAGCCTACGTAAGAACGTACATCATATGATTTTGGGCCATATTGCCCAAGCCTATTATATCCAAAAGATAGAAAGTCAGCTTCACCTAAAAAATATGATATTCTGCAAAAACACTTGTTATTAATCACCGTAAGTCAGGGACAGAAGAGGAGACTGCGATTATGTTCCCTGTTTCCATTATGACTGGTTAAAAAAATCAAACAACTGCGAGATGGAAATTCTTGCAGGTAAATATTATTAGGAAGCTAATAGGACCATCATGAACATGTGTGGTCAACATGTGTTTGTGTGCAGAAGGAGAAACATCATTTTCTAATGAAATCATTTTGAACACTAACCTGAAGTTGTGAGACTCAGGGTTCTGTGCTTTCTTCTGGATGTCTTTGTACACGGGTGACTTGAGGTAACGAAAGAAAGTATCCTGTACCAACGAAAACACATGAGACCGATGGTGATAATAATAATAATTTTACTTTAAAAATAACCATCGGAACACAGTTGCAAAGTGATTTTGGGGGCAAACAATAGAAAAAATGTAATACATTAAATTAAAAGCAGTTTGAAGAGCACACACAACATTCAGACAGGAATATGAAAGTGTTACAGATTCGAAAAGAGTAAAATTAAATAAAACAAAACCGTCCAATATGATTAAAACAGTGAGCCCTAAGAAAGGCCATTTATTAAAAATGTCTTTAAGTGGTATTTAATAAAGAATAAGGAGCTTTCCAGACAGATCTCATCAGGGAGGTTGTTTCTGTGGGAACTTAAAGGAAAGACCTGGTTACTCTGGGTACCGAACTACCATTCATTCTCATATTATTAATAAGATATCACAGCTTTGACCTGGAGGACCAGTAGTTGATCTGGCTGCTGCAGCCCAATAGAAAGGTAGATAGTCTTCTCTGACCCTTCCCCTTTCCTGTCCCATCATACCAGCTCATTTTAGATCTTTGAAATAATCAATAATGACTTTTTGGTGCAAATCAATCACACTTACAGATGAATTATAATCCTTATTAGCTACATAGACACACCTTTTTCATGAGTAGGAAGACGTGTGTCTGAGCTGCTTCCAGCACGTAGCGGTGGGGATGCTCCAGGCCTTTCACTGTCAGACCCATGGTCCGGCCATCGATGTTGATCCAACGGGGGGCACCAGGGGCCAGGAAGGTTCTGAACACACAGACGCTCCACATCAACTCTACTGTAAATCCTACTTTAGGGTTTTGATCACACTTTCACGTTTGAATTTCCCTGGGTTTAGTTTAAGCAGCAGTGACACAAACACATACACAGTGGAGTCTGATGTATTGTGAGTGATGGAAGGAAAACACAAATGAACCAGGACCCTATTGTGCATTCAATATGGGGATAAAAAACACAACATGAAATACCTACAGCTAACACTAAAGGGCACAATTAGCGGCATGTCAGTGCTAGAGATGTGGATATTGTGTTTATATTTCAAATGGATGTTGTTCTTGACGTCAACAAAAAGAATGAAACAACCTTACACAAGGTTTACACACTGGTTTACACACATGGCCATGTATTAGAGGAGTGCTACATTCCCTTTCAAGATCAGCAGCCACACCACAAAGTGGCAGTCGATGCACACACTACAGTTCCCAGAATGCCTCACCACTCCCCCAGATGTAGGTGTGTGAGCCACCTAATTGAGGCAGGACTGGAGAGGAGCAGAGGGAGGGAGAGCACATGGCTGGAAGGAGCTCGGAGAACCAACTTGGAGTGAGAACTACTTTCTAAATTCACCCTCTTTTTTGGAACCTTTTGGTTTTTGCCTGTTTTTCTTAGTTACACTGCACCACCCCACCCTAGCCGGCCCTAGTGACCTCTCATGACATTCCAACACACATACACAAACACTTACTTAAAGATGGTCTCAGCTTTTGATGACATGGAGGATGCAGTGCCCCACTTCAATTCTTCAGCTGCTTCCCAAAATGCCAAGTTCTCCCCTGGGACACACACACACACACACACTAGCATGTTAGCAGGCTGCTATTCATGTGAGCACAACCTCAGAGGACCAAGCAAGGCAGTAGACAGTCTTATTTGAAAGGCGGATGACATGTCACACAGGAAACTCTGGATTTGTGTTCTGTTCAAATACACTCACTGAGGACTTGATTGGGAACAGCCTCAGTTCTTCCTTTCATTGATTCCTTTTACATTCTGCTCCATGTTGACATGACTCATCACAACATCCCTCAGATACGTCAGCTGCACATTAATTCTGCCAAACTCCTGTTATACCACACCACTACTGTGTTGTACTTGATTAATAACTGCTGACCGAGGAGGTCACTTAAGTTCACTGAACTCACTGTCATGCTCATTTACTTTGAGCTGTAAACACCTTACCCTAACCACCTCAGGAATTCTCAGTCTGGTTCAATACCATGGATACTGTGGGGAATATTACTTTTAATTTGATAAACACTTGTGCACCATGTATTACTTTAAGTTGTTAAACACTGTGTGCACCATTTTCAGTAACCATCTCTTGTTCACAGCTTTAGTTGTCCTAGTTTTAGTATGACCATTGTTTGGAGCAATAACACACGAAAACATGATTGCAATGTGCTCATAGGGAGTTGCAGGACACGTCTAAGAAAGTTCTAAGATCTGTCCCAGGGTCTGAAAAACAGTAAATAATCTCAGACCAGGTGTAGTCATGAATGGAAGATACGAACACACATTTTACCATGCACAAACACACACATTTTGCCGTCAAGGTCAGGAAGAGCTCTTCCCTCTCCCATATATAAGGAGTTGTTATTGCGTTAAAATTAGAATAAGAGGTCTGAGACCCGTTTTGGGGCATAAAAAGGGAAGAAAGTAACAGCAGGGTCCGGGACCATTGCACGGTTCGTGTGTCGCGTGAAGCAATCTATAAGACACGATCCGACAATTGTTCATCGCTGACAGCTGACAGTGAGGGAGCATTGAGTAAATTGATATTGATGTAAGAAAGACGATTTATGCAACTGTCTGCATTTGTGCAGCCTAATCTGGGAGTGTGGAGTGTAAGGTGTGATGCAGTGATAGTAACAGAACTGAGAGTGAAGGAAAGCAGAGTGCGGACACCATCTGGTGGAAATTGTGTTCAGAATCGGAATCCGAATCAGAAAAGCTTTATTGCCAAGTAGACTCACGCCTTTGGCAAATGGCAGTGATTGGTCATGTCTTGTCTGGTATACGTTGCTGTTTTTGCAGCTGTTCTGGTGACTTGCGGTTGCTGTTGCATACCCTGCTTTAGGACCCTCATGGACAGACTAATTACCACTGCCCTGTCCAAAGAGATTCCTCCCCCTCCATATCAGATGCCATTGTTGGGTGAAGGTGGTGATGATTATGAGTTGGACGTTGGAGAGATTGTGGACTTCATGGACAATTTTTCGGTGTAAGGGATTTGGGAGAATATTACTTTTAAGTCAACAAACACTATGAGCACCATGTATTACTTTCAAGTTGATAAGCACTTGTGCACCATGTATTACTTTTTAGTCGATAAACACTGTGTGCACCATTTTCAGTAACCATCTCTTGTTCACAGTTTAATTGTCCTAGTTTTAGTATGACCATTGTTTGGAGCAATAACACACGAAAACATTATAATGTGCTCATATGGAGTTGTAGGACACGTCTAAGAAAGTTACGAGCATCTGCCCCAGGTTCTGAAGGATGGTAAATAATGTCAGACCAGGTGTAATCTTGAATGGAGGATACACACATGCATTTTGCCGTGCACACACACACGCACACACACACATTCCTGTGCACAAACACACACATTTTGCTGTCAAGGTCAGGCCGAGCTCTTCCCTCTCCCACATTGACCAAAACCATATAAGGAGTTGTTATTGCGTTGAAACTAAGGATGATACACTGTGCATGACGTGCAAGAGGAGATAAAAACATAACTGGAGTTAGGTAGAGTTGGAGACACAAGGTTCAAGGTAAAGATGGTCACCAAAGGAGGGACCAAGCAAGGAGTGGCTAGTGCTCATTGGTTGTTTCAAGTGCCAAGAGGCCAGGAATGAGCCTGTGCACCAACAAGGAAGAGCTGAGTCTAAACCATGGCTATTCCCCGCTCCTTATTGACCAATCACGTTAATTCTAATGTTACAATAGCTGTGTGATGCCAAATGTGCGGGGCGACTTTTCACGACTCTGGGTGGCTTACAGCCAGATTGTGTGAGGATGCCCATAGCTATGTAATGCCTTTTCATTGTTTGGTAATAAATGTTCATTGATTGCACACGGATTGACACTTCTTATATCTCTGGATAAACAAACGCAACAATACATAATCCAAATTGAAATGTTTTAAAATAAAGTTTGGTAACATACCGCTGAACTCCTTCTTGAGGAAGATCTTAAAGTCGTCTCGGCCTCGCAGGTCAGTCAGCAGCTCGAACAAGCTGAATGACCAGCGCTCCACTCTCATCTTAGTGGGTGGATCAACTCTGAACACAAACACGGGCTCAGTAACTCAGTGACACTCACATATCTCATTCATGACTGGATATCCATGTTCTACTTTTACAGAGATACAGTACTAATAATTTAGATTACAGTCATATGACTGACATATAAATTAACTTTTAATAACTTTTAAATGTTTGTATTTTGTGATATCTATTAATATGTCTTGACAATCCTTTAAGATGACCAACCAACCAACCTACCTACCTACCAACCTTCCTACCTAAATACCTACCAACCAACCCACCTACCTACCTACCTACCTACTTATCTACCTACCTACCTGCCTACCTACCACCTACCTACCTACCTACCTACTTACCTACCTACCCCTACCAACCAACAACCAACCTATCCACCTAACTGCCCACCTACCTACCTACCTAACCACACACCCACCTACCTCATAAGCAACCAACCAACCTACCTACCTACCTACCTTCCTACCTACCTACCCACCTACCTACCTACCTAATCACACCCACCTACCTCCTAAGCAACCAACCGACCTACCTACCTACCTGCCCAACTACCCACCTACCTTCCTACCTACCTACCTACCTACCTATCCACCAACCAATAAACCAGTCAACCAACCGACCTACCTATCCAACTACCAACCAAAAAAGCAAACTTCTGCTGAAGTTGAAGCTCTGCAAACATCTGCACAATTACAGTCAGCATACTCTTCCTGTTTAATGCTGTGAAGCAGTTCCAGCCAACATTAAAACAAATGCTCATATTGTAAACATGCTGAGGGCTGAAGAGGCTGATGGTCTCCCAGTTTTATTTGATTACAGTAACACAATGAATATGAGTTCTTGATCTGAGACTGACACCTTTGTGCACATTGACGATGAAGGCAAACAGAAAGTAATGAATGCAGCTGCCCTTACCTTCTCATGTTGAGAGTCCAGTATGAGTCATTGTCTGTTTGCCAGGGGTTGCTGGGTAGACATGGAGCCAGAAACGGGTCGTGGGTTTTGTACGTTGTGATGTACTTGACGAGTCTGTGGAGATGCAACTATCATGAGACCAATGGAATCCACCGAGCCTCCAAGTTTCCAAACTAGGCCAGTCAATGTTTTGACAGGTTATTTTGTATAACCATTTGGTTATTTTTAGGAAGCAAAAAAATCTCATTCATGAAATAGTGTGTATAAGAACAAGATTCTTAAGGGGAATTGTGGTATTTTCCATCCTGGGCCTGATGTTTATCTCTGATTATCAGGGCTATGGTGGAAACATTCTTTATGAGCCTAAAATTAATCTGAGTCTTTTATTGGTGGAAAAAAGAACTTTAAGTGGACATTTTGAGGACGGTCATAGTTGCCCCATAACATTACATTGTAGCTGCTGCTAGCATGTTATGGCTGCTGGCAGAGGAGATCTACTGGACCGGTTCAAAACATTATTGTCAGCAGCATTCATTTACAAACTCACATATATAAACATAGGACCCAGGTTGAAAAATTCCTGTTTAAGTTATGATGACAGGAAAAAATGAAATGAATTTTAACTTAAGGTAACAAGGCTTTTACATGTAAGGTACTAGACAAACTTACGCTCCGAGGGACACGCTAGATTTGACCTTTGACCTCATGATGGCTTGTTGATAGAAAATGTTCTAGAATAAAAGAACATAACATGTATTTCACAATTGAAGATTTCCAAATGTAATTTTGTAAAAGGTTTATAAATAAAACTATCCACTTCTGTGACGTTATAAAACTCAGTCTGCAGCTTCAAGCCACCAACAGTGAACCGAGAGGACATTTCATCCATTACTGAAACAAGAGGAATGATTACTAATTACAGATTATTACTTACCATGCGTCTGTGCTGGTCAAAGCTGATTTTCTGTACACAACAAGAAAAAAATGTTTTCATGGAAACAGTTTATTAGGTGCAGTTGACTCACATGACTGTTTGAAGTATATCTAGTATGCTTTAGTGTTATCCACAGACAGCAAACAGAAGGGTGGAAAATAACAACCACAAAAAACACTAAACACTTAAGGCAAAGCTGACTTAAGCTTGCAAGTAATTTGTGATTATTAGAGCAAAATATAATTTCTGAAAGATTGGTCTGCCTGTAGACATGTGTTCTTTTAAATTGATAATATTTTTAGAGATTTATTTTATGAAGGAAAGGAAAGTGTGGTAAAAAAAAAACTGAAGGAATCTGACAAAACAGTTCATTTAACATGAATAACTACAATCACATCATCACCATTTCCTGGAGGATTGACTAAGAACAACATGGACCATGAATTTACACACTAGTCTATTTTACACACAAGAATCAAAGTCTGGGCAAGACACTTATTGTATTAGATAGGTCTCTCTTCATCAGTGTATGGAAAACTGTTAGAAAGGAGAAAAAGACAGGAGAAGGAAACAATGCTGTGAATAAACAAGTTTCTTGTGACATTTATCCCGATGATGAAAGGCAAATTAAATCCATTATCATAAAATTAGAAACACCAAGATTGTCCTGGAGCTGCAGTATGGGGCTTGGGATTTACAACTTTTTGGTTGGCTTCCCTTAAGTACAGCATCACATATTCTCTGATGGACAGTACAAATCTCAAAGATATTCTCTATAA